CTGCTATCACAGCACTGCTCAGCTCCCCATCAAAAATACTCCTCTGAATGTAAAATGAGAAGCATTATTTTCCAAACTTTCTAAAATGGCTGAGGCCAATGCTGTAATCTTGAAAGACTGAAGGTCAAATATTTTCCTTACTCTGCCCAGTATTTTTATTGTTAATTTTACCCTATCTTTGTGAGGTCTTTCCTGTTCTCATATTCCCTATTCTTAGCATGTGAATAATTTTATGACTTAGTAAAAACCTAGAGATGAATTAAATTTGAGATGAAAGGAAAAGAGATTAATAATGAACAGGAAAAAGCTTTCTGCTTTAAAAAAAAAAAAAAAAAAAAATCAGCCTAATACTACACATTCACTGCCAGTTCTTCTCTGAGAAATATTTATGATCACAGATGTTTATAAGCCAACACATTTTTGTATAAAAAAAAAAAAAAAGCTAAGTTTTTAATGGTTATTTCTATACCTATTGGGAACATAGCCATTACAATTCATTTCCAAGTTTTACTTTTAGAACAGTGCCACAATATTTTAGTATAATTTATTAAAAACTTAATAGGCTGTTAGCTCTCAAGTTGTAAATGAAGCATGTAGGAGGAGAGGGATTACTACTGTACAGCTCCTGCAGCAGGGAATAATTACAGTCCTTCTAGAATAAGAAGAGGGTGGAAAAATACTGTGTAATAAGTTCTGTATACTTTTTCCTCCCAGTGACGTAATGATTCAGCTTTAAAATTGCATTTTTATAAGCTTCTGGTGAATGAATGTTACCCACCGTGATACTGGTCTGCAGAAAGAGTGAATGGTGGCAGCTGTGTAGGCCCACCCAGCCTATTTGGTTCATCTGTGACACCTCTGCATGGAGAGCTGGCAATAGCATTGCTTGTGCACTGCCATGAGAACAGCTGTTGGGGGGCATATTTTTTGATTGGACACTAAAAAATTCAGTATTAATTTAGTTTGCTGGCTCAGGCTCTGTGATTTTGTTTCGTTTTTTAATATGACATCTACTGTTCTTAGCTGAAAATGGGAAGCCTTTTATCCACCTGCTGTATTTAAAGATTGTGTCTGTCACAGATAGCTTGAAGTCACATTGGCCAAACTATGAAAGAAAAGATCTGAAGAAACGAGTTGGTTTGTCAGAAGGATGTGGCTAGCTTGGTCTCTGGAAGGAGAAACCAGACTTTCCCTGGCTCTTCTGTGAATGTTTTATTCATACTGGGTCAGTGTTGTTGGTGCAACTCATCCAGACTCTTTGAAGCTGATGAAGATCCATCAAGGTTCAGTTTTCATGAGTGATAAAGAATGCCTCATGGACAAAAGCATTTTTCTGTTGAATTTATATTCATAGTCTCATTCATTCCACCTTGCACCTTACCCTCATTTCATAAAGACAAATTTTACTTTGTCTATGAAAATGTTCAATCTGGGTTTCCTATTGCACCAAAAATTGCCATTTTCTTTGGTTCAGAATTTCCTTCATATTTTTCATTAGTTACAAGAATGAATAATGTCTTGTGCTTTTGTAAATCCCGAGATGATTTTGAAAATCTCTTATAGCCATAGTTATAACATAAAAATGAATTTTATTCCAATGAGGAAGAAATTCCAAGTCTTTTCATTTGTTCTGTATAATTACTTCTGAATTCTAATGCCTCGGAGGAGCCATGCTCACTGGCTTTCCAACAGAGGCAAGACATAACCTTTCCTTAAATTAGAGATCTCTGAAGAGGTTGAACCATAGTCTTCTTCAGAAAATGTACTTTAGCCTCTGTTAAAAACAAACTGCTAAACCTCAGGTATGCAGAACAAAGAAAGAAGGGATTTCTGTGACATATAGCTTTCATATGTGATTGATGGGAACCCTAAGTTAATGTTTCCTCAGCAGTTGAGACTTCCTACTGAATTACTCTAAGCAACTGTAGAGGATAACGCTTCCATAACAAAATTGTCTAAAACGTTATTAGAGTTGATGGACGTTCTGCCAAACTGTTCCCCTCTGTGTGGAGCATAGGATTATGTTTAACTTTGGACTGTTACCTCAATCTGTACGGTCCAGGAGGAAAAGCAATTGGTTCTCCTTTCTCTTTTGATCCGGATTAGAATTTCATGTGTACCAAGAAGGAACTTGTTCTTCTTCAGCAGTTACTCCATTTCTAACACTGGCCCTGCATCAAGTCTATCAGAAGAGGATATAAAGCTGTTATCTAGCTCTGGTGATATTCCAGCTATTACCAAGTGCAGTGCTAAGGTATAGTTACTGCATAAAACCTGGAAAAATAACTTTTAAAGAGTTTGTGGGGGTGATTCCACAGATTGCTAAAAAGCATTGCATATTGCAAAGCTGAACTGCACACATACAGCCTTTCTACAATCCCTCCTAGCTGGACACTTTGTGTAGACAGATACATTTATTTTACATACAAAAACCCTTTGTTGCCAGGCTCTTCCACTGAACAGTCTCTTTGAATATCCTGTATTTTCAGTGTAGGGAATGTTTTACCAGCAGCAACTCCTCCTTTAATGGGAGGGAAGTTTGCAAATCCCCTGGAGAGAAGCACAGAGGGAGTAGGCCAGTATGCCCAGCTCATCACTGTGGCTTTCAGGCAGATTTGAAGTTGCGTGCGCCACATTGCAGCCCTCCTCCTGGGTTCCTGTCACGCTTGAAATTCCCATGAAGTGTAGGAAGGCACAAAAGGTAAAATAGACAGTTTTGGCTGCTGCATTATGGAATGAGATAAAACTCTTAGTGTTTAAAGGAGGGCAATGGAGATACGGAAGGTTCTGGAAGGTAGGATGTAGTCCTTGTTTTTGCTCAGCCCAGAGCAAAGGAGCTGAGGGGAGGCCTCATGGCGGCTGCAGCTCCTCACAGGGAGCAGAGGTGCAGCACTGAGCTCTGCTCTGTGTGGCAGCGACCAAACACAAGAGAATGGAGCTGTGCCAGGAGAGGGGCAGCTGGGGGTGAGGGACAGGGTCTGTGCCAGTGGATGGTGGGCATGGAACAGCCTGCCCAGGGCACTGGACCAGTGAGTAATGTGAAGCTCAAGAGCAGCCTTGGATGTAGTAACAACAAAATGGTGGAGTTCAAAATCCTTAGAGACAGAGACGGTGTGCAGAAGCTTGTGACCCTGGACTTCAGGAGAGCAGACTTGAAACTCTTCGGGGAACTGGTTGGCAGGGTGACACGGGAGATAGCCCTGGATGGAAGAAGAGCCCCAGAAAGCTGGTCAGTATTCATGGACCATCTCCTCCAAGCCCAGAAGCAGTGCATCCTGAGAAGAAGGGGCAGGCAAGAATGCCAGGAGGCCTTTGTGGATCAACAAGGAGCTCCTGAACTTGCTTAAGCTCAAAAAGAAAGCCTATAGGGAGTGGAAGCAGGAACAGGTTACCTGTGAGGACTACAAAGAAGCTGTCTGACCAGTGAGGGATCAGGTTAAGAAGGCCAAAACCCAGAAAGAATTAAATCTAGCCACAGACATAAAGGGGAACAAGAAGAGATTCTACAGGTATATCAGTGATAAAAGGTCAGGAAAGATGTGGGCCCTTTCCAGAAGGAAACTGGAGGGATATGGAGAAAACTGAGATGCTCAGTGACTTCTTTGACTCAGTCTTCACCATCGAGGGCTCTAGCCACACTGCCCAAGTTGCAGAAAGCAATGGTCAGAACTTGGAGAAGGAAGATCTGCCTGCTGTAAGTGACGATCAGGTTAAAGACCATATAAAGAATCTGAAGGTGCACAAGTCCATGGGATCTGATGAGATCCATCCACGAGTTCTGAGAGAACTGGCAGATGAAGTTGCCACGCTGCTATCCATCATATTTGAAAGGTCATGGCATCTGGTGAAGTTCCCATTGATTGGAAAAGGGGAAACATAACACCCATTTTCAAGAAGGGAAAAAAGGAACATATAGGGAACTACAGGCCAGTCAATCTCACCTCTGTGCCTGGCAAGATCAAGGTGAAGATTTTTCTGAAGGCCCTACTAAAGCACATGGAAAATAAAGGTGAGGTGATTGGTGCTAACCAACATGGCTTCACTGAGGGCAAGTCATGCCTGACAAACTTGGTGGCCTTTTATGATGAAGTTACAGTCTCCATGAAGAAAGGAAGAACAACTGACATCATCTACCTGAACTTGTGTAAAGCATTTGACACTGTCCTGCATGCATGACATCCTAGTTGCCCAGTGGGAGAAAAATGGATTTGATGGATGGACCACTCACTGGATAAGGAACTGGCTGGATGGCTGCACTCAGAGAGTTGCAGTCAGCAGCTCAATGTCCAAGTGGAAAGCAGTGACGAGTGATGTTCCTTGGGGATTGGTGTTGGCATCAGTGTAATTTGACATCTTTGTAGATGATACAGGCAGTGGGATCAAGTGCACCCTCAGCAAGTTTGCAGACAACACTAAGCTGAGTGCTGCAGTTAACACGCTGGAGGGAAGGCACACCATCCAGAAGGACGGAGATAGGCTTGAGGGGTAGGTTCATGCCACCATCATGAAGTACAAAGCCAGTTGCGAGGTCCTGCGCTTGTCGGGGCAATCCCTAGCACAGATACAGGTAGCTACAGGGCAGCAAATGGCTTGAGAGCAGCCCTGAGATGGATTTGGGAATGCCAGTTGATGAAAGATTCAACACGAGCCAACAACATACACTTGCAAGCCCAGGTGGCCAACCGTATCCTGTGATCCTCGCGGGTCCCTTCCGACTCGGGGTATTCTGTGATTGATTGTGTTTCCGCGCTGCTTCGGCGGCTCTCTCGGCCTTTTCAAACTGCCTCCCCGAACCCCGGACCTCCCCTTTCCGTGCCCCAGCGGGGCAGCGCCGAAGCCCTGCCTCCCACCTCTCTCCGCCGCAGCCCCTCGCTGGCAGACACACGCCCGCTGCCGCAGCCGGGCCCCTCCCGGCCAGCCGCCCCCCGCTTTGTGCGCGGCCCGCGGGAGCTCCGCCTGCGGCGGCGGCGGGGCCGGGCCGGGCGGCGGCAGAGCGCGGCGCTGTGTGCCCGCCGCTCCGCGCCCTCGGCGGAGGCCAGCAGCCGGCGGCTCCCGGCTGGAACAGCAGGGGAAGGGGCTCGGTTCCCTCGGCTCTCCGTTTCTCCGGATGAAATGCTGTCTGAAGTGGCATCTGCCCGGCGGGTCTCCCTGCTGGCTTAAAGACGCTGCGTTTTAGATGTCCTTCTGCGTCCCTCCGGCGTACGTGAATAAGCGGTTTCGGAGGTAGGCGCGCGCCGGGAATGGCCAGCGGTGGTTTCTACCCTTCGTGGCTGGGCGGGAGCGGGGAGGAGAGGTGACATTCGCATCGATCGGTGCAGGAAAAGCCTCGCCTCGCTGTTAGAAGGCAGGGTACGTTAAAGCGGGAGCTGCAAGGCGCTTGCCGTGCCCGAGCGCGTGTGCTGGGATACGTATCGGCGATACCGAGCCGAAGGCAGGGCTGCTCCACGGCGTGAGGAACGAAGCCTGTGCCGTGCATGCTGTGTTGAAAGAAGGCTGCATAAAGGACGGCATCCTTCCTTACACCGCTCGGGAACGCGGCCATAGGAAAGGCTGCGTGTGGTGCTGTGCGAGGCAGCACCTCGTAGCCGGCGCTTTGCGAGCGAGAGCCTTCGTCTGTTTCATTCGAATAGTAGGAGGGGCCCACGGACCGCTTCGGGATAATGTGTTAAAGCTTGCATAGAGTGGAAGGGTCGGAGGAGAGGTAGGACAGCTGTGCGTGAAGGACTGAACTGACTTCTCCGGGAAAAAATAGGAAGGGGATTGAACTGTGCTGTGAATAAATGGCTGTGCTTGTGCAGCTCAACTGTGAGACAGATGATCTAACAGAAAATCCCCCGTTTGTTAACTACAGAAAGCTTCTGGCTCTATGGCGGGAGTTCTTTCTGTGGAAAAAACCACTAATCAGAGCAAATAGGATCAGTCGCCCTTTATCCTATTAGTTTAATGTTTAAAAATGCTCCTTCTGCTGCTTCAGGTGCTAAATCAGTGATGGGAATGTGCTGCTGCTGAGTGATTCTGTCGTGTCACAGCTGGCTTCTCTGGGAGGGGGGGACATGGGGAAGAGTGAACTTGAGGAATGCGGTTCAAAAAAGCAAAGCAAAAAAATGATGCTGTAATGTTTTCCTGGTGCTTTGTAGCAGTGCTTCTGAAAAACAGATGCAACTGTTCAAAGCTATGTAAAGTTCCAATCCTTACATTTGTAAAGTGATAGAACCAGATCAGCTGCAGGAACAGACAGCAATATGGTAACAGCGATACCACCTGGATCTGAAGGCAGTATAAAACTTTACTTGAATGCTATGTTAACCAGAACTAAACCCACATGTGCAAGCTATCAGGTGTTGCCTACTTTGCTGTAGTCCCAGTGTGACTTATCTACTTCCTGGTTTACTGTAGGTCCTAATGAAGTAACCTCTGCAGATGTAACGAAATAGTTACAACAAGTTTATACTACCTGTTCTGATTGTGATGGATCACTCTAATGAGCTGTTTGACCGCCAACTATTCATTTTAAAGATATTCTTTATTTCTGAGGAATTGAAAACAGTGAAACGGTAGAAATACCCTTAATCCTATTTAGATTAATGGGATTTCCTCTACCCTTATAAACTGATGTTCACTGAATGAATGCCAGATATGAAATAGATTAAACATTAGTCTTTCACTGGAGAGATGAAAGTGAGAAGAAATCAGCTATAAGTGTTAAAATGGGAGAGATGCCATTATACAGCTGTATGTAGGATCTGCAGGTAGAATAGCATACTGCAGAATAAAATACAACTCAAGTTATTAGTGACAAAGCCTTTTTTCCCTGCTAATAAGACTGACATGCCAATATTATGCTAAAATAGCTGCAATAATGTGCATATATTAAAGGCATTTTATGTATTGACACAGCATGCCTCAAGAAGTTTGAAAACACTGGGCAATCTTTCCTCTGCTGGCAACAGGAGGCAATATTGCTAAGTGCCTGTGCTGTAGCGTCTGCTCTGGTGCTGCCTTCCCTCGGAGGTTGTGCCGGGGCTGAATTTTGCCTTAGCAGATAAGCTGAGTCAGCAGGCAACACATTGCCTCGCAGCCTGCAGCTGCCCGTGGCAAGAGTTGAGCAAAGCCAAGTCCCTCGGTGGCATGCAACAGGCCTCAGCTGCATCAACAAAACCTAGCAAACTTATTCTCCAAACCATCTCATTGCAGGCAAACAAGTTCTTCTGTGAGGATTCACTTAGATTAGGGTTTTTCACCATGCTATAAAATGAATTTGTCATTTGTCAGGTAAATAGAGGCAACTAATTTATGCATAAATTCTAGTGTAGGTACTTGCGAATTATTTATTCTAGTCAGACCCATGTAAAATTTTTTCTACTTAATTGTTTCATCACGACATCCTTGTTTGTGAAATATATTAACTGCCATGTCTGGCCAAATTTACTAAATAATTAAACAAATTCATAAATGTGAAACTCACTAATACTGTAGTTTTTGCTATTAAGGCTTATCCTATGATATCACTAAATACAACATGGTGTTGGCAACCTCTCTCCAGTGATTTAGAGAGTAGGAATTTGGCTGTAATACTTAACAGTTAGTTTGGTCAGTACAATTTGAAGTGAAGCTATTTTGTCATTACCTGAACTGCACTGCAGGAAATCATGAAATAACATAGTTACCATGGTCTGGCAACAAATAATTCAACTAGAGGCATATGCGGGCCACAGTAAGTGTACAAAATAATTTTTTTTAATTGCAGTTATGTTTAAACTTCAAATCCATCCCCAAAAAATTTCATAGCTGAATCTCCTGACTGAAAGCCAAGGTACTAATAGGTAGTAATAGTAATTACTCACCAGTAATAGGTTAGGAGTGAGACCAGATTGCAAATTGGGACCTGCTCTGTACTGGTTGTAAATACAGCTTTTCCAATTTGAGTTTGAGGTACTAGAAATGAAGGTGCTGAGATGATCGGTGACGTAGTGTTAGGAACATGGAACTCCTCAGTGGTGATGGGGAAGCTCTGATCCTCTCCGTGCTCCTGGCTGACTGAGGAACTGGGCTGTGCAGCACTTTGAGCCACCTTTTTGGTAAGAGCACTGCGCACCTCTGCTGGGAAGTCCTTGCTCCTGGCTGGCAGTATGTGCAGTCCGCCACTGAAACGCTCCCTGGGGCCTCTGGTTTGCTGATGGCATTGACTGGAAGTGTGTGAGCTGGCACGTATGTCTGCAACGTCCAGTTCGATTTTCAAATTCACTGTTTCATCAATCTGTCCCATCCATAGCACAGAGACTTCAAATGAAATTCTTGTCCCACAGTTTGAATGTTCAACTTAGCTATGTCAGTAATAACACACTTGTTCAAAAATAAATAAATAAATAAAACAGGTAAATAAATAGGAGATTAGGAAACAAGGCTCTGTTTACAGACTGGCAGGGTGGCTGAGGCTGGCAGGGGCTCAAGCCCTCTGGGGGGCTGGGTCCAGTTGGGTGCTAAATGGCTGTGCTCTATTGAAATGACACTTTTACAACCTGTTTGGGGGACCTCTGCCAGCGCTGAAACAACCTCACAGTGAGAATTTCCTGCGCTTAAATGGAGGTCCCTGTATTTAGTTTGTCTCTTGCCTCTTGTTCTTTCACTAGGCGTGACTGAGGAGAGTCCATCTTCTTTACTCTGTCTTTGTGACAAAGCTTTTGATCCACTTGTCCACCAGGCCTCACAGATCTTGCTCCGCAAAGCTAATTCCCCAGTTTTCTCTGGGCCTCTTCTCCCAGGTAGCAGTGATAGGATAAGAGGGAATGGCCTCAAATTGCTCCAGGAGAGATCCAGGTTGGATGTTAGGAAAAATCTGTTTTCAGAAAGAGCAGTGAGGCAGTGGCACAGGCTGCCCAGGGAGGTGGTGCAGTCACCGTCCCTGGAGGTGTTGAAGGACCGTGTGGATGTGGCACTGAGGGACGTGGGCAGTGGAGTGATGGGGATGTGTTGGCAGCTGTACTAGGTGATCTTGGAGGTTTTTTCCAGCCTTATTCTGTGAATTAGAAAGGATGTGTGAGCTTTATTCTGAATTGGTTACATACATATCTATGGCACTCAAAACACTACTTTTCATCAGTATTTGCATTGTCGTAATGATGGCAGGTTTGTTATACTTCTAATTAAGAAGCTTGGCTGAGCAGTTCATGTTGCTTTATTAAGCTCTCTCTGCTAAGGGAGGCTTCACTAGGAGGTGCCCTCAAGTAAAGTATCACAGTGCTTCAAAGCAGCAAGAAGCATTTTGTGACAAAGCCCAACTACAGCATTTGCGGTGGAAGACATGGGGGAAATGGTGAAAGTAACAGTCACCTAAAAGATCACTGGCATTCAGATTGCAATCTAGAGGTAGTCTTCTACCCAGGGTGAGGCAGGACTATGTTTTTGTGTCCTTTATTATGGTCTAAAAATGGAAGTAATACAGTAAGATTGATTGTGGGATTTAATAATACATGCACACGTGCATATAATTCTCTCAAGATTGAAACTGCACAGCTATTTTGGGAGTTCTTTGTATCTGGGAAGTAGTTGCAACTTTGTCTCTGTCATCGTTGGCCCAGATCAACATTGACTGCAAAAAGGTTAATCAAAATCAGTGGAGTGGGACTCGTGTGCCTTTTGTGTACCTTGCCTGTTCACTTTCTGCCTTCTGGAAGTGAAAACACTCACAAGATGCACAAAATAGAAATTTTGCCTGAGCAGTGATGTTCCTATTTGAAGCCTTCGGAGAGGTTACCAAGTTTCTATGTGTCAGGCTGTTAAAGCAATGCTTTTTAGCACGCTCTGCAATAATTTCAAATCAGAGAGGTTTAGATAGAATATTTGTGCACACAGGCACACACAGAAAAATTGAAATCTGCTTTCCACATGGTAAGACTTTTGAGAGGTAGGTCTAACATCAGCAAGTGGAGCCAAGAGCAGTGCAGTCACTTTTTTTTCCTTTGGTACCTTTGTAGGTTAACAGTGTAACTGAAATCAGGAGAGAAGCTAACCAAGATGAAAATTTTCTCTAACAGTCCCTTTTGCTTTAGTTTCTGAGCAAATAGCTATAGGCATAGCATATAACAAGGTGCTCGAAGACACTCCAGACATCTTGTTAGTTAACCTGGGTATTACTTCAAGTAATGTTTATCATTACAGGCGACAAACTGTAAAATATTAGCACAGTATTATATACAAAGAATACACCCAAGTTTTGAATCCAAATAATATAGCATTCTTTTTATAATGGCAGACTAAAATCTATTCATTTTTCTGCTTCCATCAGCATTTGAGCAGATTCTATGCTTTAGGATAATTAATCTTCCTGAACAACCAAGAAAAAAACATTCTAGATGTCTTTTCACAAACTCACATCAGCTGCTGTTGGCTCATTCTTCTTTTGCAGTGTGCAAGCTATCTCATATCTGTCCTACAGCCACACAGTTGACATGTTTGCATACACGAGGTCTTTGTGCTGTAGGAATTTGCCATGTGACAATTTTTAAACTTTAGTCAGTTCTTCAGTAGTGCTGTGCAGAGGCATGCCCTCACAGCAATCTCTACCTGCATCCAGGCATGTACCAAGGTGCATGTATTTTGCATTTCTTATTCTACTGCCCCTTCCTGGTAAGCCAAATGATCTGGCCCATGGTTCAAGCATATGTGATGCTTTCATAGGGTCCCTCTGATGGCAGCTGTTGAGCTCAATCAGAAAAGCCGTTCCTTGGTTTTCAGAGCTCCTTTTGGTTGGATGCTCAAATATAAATACATGCAGTGTAGCTGCAGATACTTGTAAGGAATCTCCCTGAGTATTTCTAGAAAAGAAATTCTGTGTTGCTGAAAAATTTTGAGCAGCAAAGTCATTTTTTTTTGAAGGATCTTTTTCTTTTTGTTACCTTAATTGCTGAAAACTGATCTATATCTGTCACTCTTTTCTTTCTCAAATTAGTAGCATTCCTACTCCTGAGCTAGAATTTAAATTTAACTTTTTCTTTCCATGAGAATCAGCCTTTAACAGATAAATTCAGAAGTAAATTGACAATTTAGCATCATGAGCATTTGAAATTCAAAAGGTAAAAGCATGTTCTTAAACACATGATATGCACACATGGGACTTCCTGAAAAATAAATCCAAGGAAAGAATCTCTTTCTTTATCCTCCTAAAGAAAAAAATAGAAAAATAAAAAATCAATGATGTACTGAAACAGTGGACTGTAAACCATTGTGCTGAAAGCTCTTGAGAGCAATAGAAGATACATGGCACAGTGCCATATGCATTAAAGTTGAGTGCCTTGTAGAATGAGATGGATAAATGTCTTGGAATAACTTACCCACTTCTGTAAATTTACAGGTTGCATCAGTTGGCAAATTAAAAGTACAAAAACAAGAAGGTGGAAGAGCTGCTGTTACCAGAAAAGTCAGAACCAATGGACTGTATGGATATAAATATGTTTGGAGGCATCTGCACTTCCCACTACAAGGTAAAGCACATAAAGTTTTTTTCTTCCAGTTTGTTTCTCTTCAGTGCAGTACAGCTATCTCTGCAATGGCTTTCCCCAGGGTGGCAAGTGAAGTGCTCTCAGGAGCTTGTTCACTCTAGAGGCTGTTGTAGTGGAAATACTAAGTCATGGCTTGAACCAGTGATTGAGCACCTGGTGGGAAGGTGGGGCCAGCCCAGGGGAGCTCAGGTGCGTGCAGTGTATCTGGATAACTGGAAGGGGCGGAACTAGGATCCACCCCTTCCTAGACCTCGTTTAAGGATTGGTGTTGGAGACAAAGGGATTCCACTGGAAATCCCTGTGTACTTGAGACTTTCTGAAGGTAAGCAGCTTCTTTCTTTCTTTTATTTCTGTGGCTGCTGTACTTGAGCAGTTCTTTACTTGCTGCAGCCTAGGACCTTGCTTCTCTGTTGTCATTACTGCATTTTCCATCATGTTCCATTTGTGGTCTACAATAAATGTATGACTGGTCAATAATCAGACCAGGGGAGGTGTAGACTTTCAAAAGCCTGTGAAAAATGTGAATTCTCAGAGCCTTTACAATTCAAGCTTTTGTGTGAAGTATCTGCTAAGGTAGCTCCACAGGTTGTCTGGCTTTAGGCTGTGCTGGTAGGTCTTTCCTCACTTTTTTTTTTAATGCGATGTATCATCTGTCTAAATGCTTATTACCTGCCCAGAGATGTAGATAGAAGTAGACTTGGAACCTATATCTCTTAATGCTGAATCTTAACCAGAAAATCTGTCTAAGTTCAGTGCTGCTAGAGGCATAAATTATGCTGTTTTCTTCTTATGCTCTTAGTGTTCTTTTACTTCTAGGATTATTGTGTGATATGTTTACTCAAACTAATACAGCTTTTCTAATACTTTTGTTTGAAGGTATAATAACGTGTTCTTTAAAGTTGATAGCTGTGAAGAGCTCCCGCTTTCTTGTTACCTTTTGCGTGGTGCCTGGATATGCTATCAGTTATTCTGAGTGCTTCTTTTACTGAGTTATTTTCAGGAAAAGTTTAGAGCAGATTTAAAAATAAAAAATGCAACTGGTAGAAACTCTTCAGAAAGATACTGGACAAGATAATCTATTAAAATAAAACTCCTGATTTTGAAGAAAGTGTAGTTTTGTATGGCTGGAGGATGGTTATTATGGGACTTCAGGTTCTAGCCACTCCAATCAATGAAGGATTGGTGCAAAGCAAATGCAAAACTGCAACTCTAGCTCTACGACGCTGAAGAGCTCAAATCAGGCAGCTGTGCACTTTGCACAAAAAAGAGCAGTTACAACTGATACTAGCTGGTGTTGTCTGCATTCCAGGAAGGATTTTCAGCCAAAGTCTGTGTGATGCTCCATTCTCACCAGCTTGTGTTCAATAATAAAGGAACGGTTTCTGCTGGTGGGATGTAATGCTGCTGCTTCTCCTTTGTACCAAAATACTGCCCACCAGTTTCCTGTGTTACCTGCCATTTATCACAAGTATGTAGTCTTCTTTCCTTTCTTGTGGAAGAACTAAATTTATGGAGTTCCTCTTTTTAAGAAGGAGAAGGAAACAGGCTATGTCATGACATCCTACAAATTAGGAAATGGTCTCTTATATACAGAAATAACAGGGACGGAATGTGTGAAATATTTAGAAAATGCAAAGATAAGAATCGGCAAATAAAACTTGCAAGGAAAAAACATGTTCAAGCTCTTGAGTGCTTGGGACATTCCAGTAAGTTTCCATGACTGTTTTAATGTTTCCATGATGTTTTAATGGGGGAATGTGTGTAGAAAGAACACAAAAACCTGCATGTACTGCTCTAGACAATAGATAATTCTGTGATGTTTAATTTTCTCTCACATGTACTTGTGTGGTACCTGCTGTCTGCACATATGTGTTAGATAGCATCCATATTGCTACCAACTACTGCTTGGCTAAACCAGTGCACATCCTGGTCTGGCCTGTGCTTTCTTGTTCTGTGCACCTTCATGCTTGAGTTTAGCCCAGCATTAGCCCAAATCCCTAATATAAAGGGAACCAAAGGAGGGGAGCGCTGGCTTTGTTTCTGAATATACAGTATGGTGGTACTGATTTGTGTTCCCAACTTGCCCACTTTAATCATGCATTTTCTGAATGCGTGGACCTTTAAAGTTTTATGGTTTCTGGCATGGGAAGGAGCTCAGTCTTGGACAGGGCTTCTGGCAGTTGTGTGACAAGTAATCCTTCCAAATAGGATTTGCTTTCCTGTAGCAGCCATTCTGGGAATGGAGAATGAATGCATGGAGGGGAATTCAGCTTACACAGGCATAGCTCAAGTTCAGCCATTCAGAACACAAGTCAGTGACAGACAGAGTTGCACATAAATTGACTCCTTTCTGAAAAGAGCTGGTACTGGCGGCTCAGAAAAACGTACAGGGTCAGAATGTCTTGCGGTGTCTTAGTTAACTGGATTTATTGGCACTTATTCACAGCAAAAAGTGTTGTTACAGCTCCAGAGTTGCTTTGTTAGTTTTCATTTGCCAAAGGCTGTCATCTCGCAGTTGTTACATGGATCATGAGCTAGCACTCCAGCTACTTCTGTGTACAGACTGCATCTTCATTTAGAACTTCATTGCATTTTCAGTACTGTTTGCTCTCTGCTTTAAAGCAACTGAGGTATCGTACATATCATAGTTACTACAGTAGCTCTGCTTTTTGGATCATAGGCTGTGGGATAGAATAAATAGCTGGAGGCAATGGTGTCTTAATTGAGGTTGGGCTTTGAGTCCTCGAACTTTCATATTGTCATTTATTTGAGAATGTTACATATCGACATATTGTGGCCTTTAGGTGGTTGTGTTTTCTTTGGCCGTTGTGTTTGATTATTTTTTTTTTGATGAAAAATACTGAAAAATAAATCAGGAAGCATGGGAATGGATTTCCTTCTGCTTTATACTCAACTCAGTTATTTCGATAATAACAGATATTATGCATGTTTTGGTTAATTTGTTTCAGCAGTCTAAGTATTAAATTAAAACCTCTTTGGAGGAGCTCCTGAAAACTTGCAGGAAGTCATATTAGAAGAGTTCAGACTCAATAAAAATTTCCTTCAGCTCGTGAAGTATTTTATAGCTCTTGTTATGACTTAGCCCCATCTTTCTACTTTCTGGTACAATAAATTTCATGTTCCTCTTCTTCACTTTTACTGTTAGTACTGAGGAACCCCAGGCATGGACGAGCCATCAGTTGTACCAGGTATTGTGCCAGGCTTAGCATAATTTGCAAATTCTCCTTTCTGCCAAGGGCATCTAATGTAAGAGGTGAGAAAGACCGGAAGGATACAGGCAGACCCAGAAGTATAAGAGACAGACAGAGATTTTTCATTAGCATGGTGAGCAGTGCCTTCGAATGGTTTTGAGGCACCTGTTTATGTGAGTCCAGAGACTTGAAGTGATTGTATTTTAAGGTGTTGGAGAATCAGAGCATTTGGTCCCTCCGACTAGGGAGGGATCCTGAAGTTGTCAATAATGTTACTGTATTATTTGCCATGTGCTGTTTAGATGTGAATAAGAGCAATTGGGTATATACTGACGTGGAAATGGAAGCAGCTTCTTGACAGTGGGTGGAAGCTTTGCCTTTTGGAAGTGTGGTGACATATAGTGTGCTTGTCCTGCAGTGTAATTTGTTCTGACGCTTGCTGGCACTGTAAGTTCTCACTACAGTGACACTTGCCCTGTGTGACATAATTCAAAACACTTTTTAGTAATACTTCCACATGAATTGAAAGCTGTCAAACTGTCTTCTCTAATTTTAACCCTCATGATCCCTTGTCCCCAGAGGTAGTTCTGATCTGTAGTGTTTCCCTCTGCTTCCTAAAGTAAAAAGATGAGATAGCAACTAGTAATTCCAGTGGTTTTTTTTTCTTTGCTATTGCTACACAGAAGCATGCTGGAAGTCATAGATTCATCTGCTAAATACTGAAGAACTGTGCTTCAGAAGTTAACTCTAGCAAAGCAGACATCTTGATATAGAAGTAACAACAAAGCCAACTTGCAATAGGGAGTTTTTGTACTTGCAGCCATTAATTACCGCTGACATTGGACACTAGTCATAAGATATAAAAATCCATCAAAAGGAAAATGGTGTGGAGTGAGATCAGAGCCTTAACAATCAAAGCAAATGTTGTTTTCTTGTTTTAATGTGGGTCACTGAGGGGGGATTGTTAAAACTTTTGTCTCTAGATTTTCTTCAAGGAGACTCCGTCTCTTCTTCAGTAAAGAGATGTACTTTAACACTTGTTGCTGCTTAGTCATCCACTCAAGTAGCATGTGACACACTGCAGTGATTTTTCCATCTAGTCCAAAGGACCTCTAGGCTTTCTTGATAACATTCTGTTCATGCTGATACTATTAACTATACACAACTCATTCCAGTAGATGAGTTGCTCCTCTTCATTTCCATTCCTAGCCGTAAGTAATAATGTCTGCGTTGGGATGGTAATGCACTGCTACTTCTGGTATGGGTGGAAGATTTTTAGGTGCAGGTAAATGTGTTCATTTAAGTGTGGTGGGAAATTCACTGGATAAGCAGTAATTTGTCAGTATGACTCCTTGTTTGATAGCTGGTATAAAAGTAAACTGGTATGCTTAGTAAAACCGGACAGGAAAATGCTGTGTGAAGGTGTAGTGGAAATGCTACCTCATGGCTTGGACCAGTGACTGAGCACCTGGTAGAAAGGTGGGGCCAATGCAGGGGAGCTCAGGTGCAGCAATGCACCTCAGTGACTGGAAGGGGTGGATCCAGGATCCAGCCCTTCCCAGACCTCATTTACAGGTCAGTAGTGGAGGCAAAGGGGTCTTGCTGGTGATCCTTGCATGCACGAGGCCTCCTGAAGGCCTACTTTTTTCCTTTATTTTGCTTCTTTCCTTTATTTGTGTGCCCATGGCTGTTACGTTTGAGCACGTTTTCACTTTCTGCAGTCTAGGACCTTGCTGCTCTGCTGTCATTTCTGTAATGTGATGAAAATCACAGAAGGTAAATTTTCTGTAATGTTAACCTGAACGGGTCAGTAAGAACTAGGAAAAAGAAGTGGATACTTGAGTATACAGGATATGTAGTGCTGCCTCTATTTTCTTACTGAACGCAGAAACAAAGGCTGAGGATGTCAGCTACTTCAGATGTCTATTTGTTTGTTCTCTAGCTTCTCGCAGCCCATAACAAATCATAGCTTTGAAGACAACTTCGTATAAACTGTGTGAGGTAAGGAAATGCCCTTCTCCCATTCCCTGATGCCGGTGGTCACAGAATTCACCCCTGGATCACGCAAAGCAGAGAACTAAATTCCACTTCTAAATCCTAGCACCAGGCTTGGCTGTTCACTCTGTGCTCTTAGTCCACTAGACTGAGCTTTTTGCTGAAAGAACAGGCCATACCACCCCTGCTGTCAAACAGACTAAGGGATCGGTCTGCTGAATTATATCTGTGTGTTTCTAGGTCAGATTTAAAGCATGAAAAGGTTGCACTCTGCTTCAATTATTAGCTGTTCAGAAAGAGAACCAGAAATAGCAAATGGAGTACAGAAAACTTGTGAAATACAGGGGAGACTCCGACTTAGAGAGAGTTCAGCTTCTTGCAAGAAATAGGCCAAAGTGAACTTTTAAACTGCAGTGCTTTGCAAGGGTGTGGTTACAGTGATGCTGAGATAGCACCACTTTGCTGTGCTAAACAGGTCCTTGTCAATAAAGATCCTCTTACTGGAATGAAGTCAGTACAGAAAATGTTACAAATGTTTACAGCATGGCCTATATTTATTTCTGTATCTGTGTAGTTAGATTCTTTCACATGCACTTTTAGAATTTCTTTTTGTGGTGTAAACTCTTTGTTTTGTTGCTGTTTTTGTAATTTTATTCATCCATTCATTGTATGGATGATTTAAGTTACATATATGAACTGCCTAAACAGCTTTTGTAACAGCAAATGCATTTTTTTAAGCAAGTGTTTTCCTCCACCATTTAGTATGGAAGCAGCCATGCAAAGAAGTCGTAAGAACGCTTGTTACTAGGATAGCAGAAGCACTATTACTCACACTTTCTCAAGTGAAGCCAGCATACTCTTTGCACTTAGCTTGGAGGGGCTGCAGAGAGTCAGCTGAGTGCTAAATCCAAGTGTTTAGAAAGTGGGGAGAAAACTTATCTTCTTAATGTTCTGCAAAAGCATGTGTTAATGCATTTCAGTGTGACATCTTGATTAAAATGGATAGCATCTTTGAAAGCGTGTATTGAAAGGCATGGGTAAATGGTTCACTATGTAAGAGAATGGTGGTTGCTTTTTATTTGACTAGAATGCACTGCTGGCTTTCCCTGCAAAGCTTTGTCAAATGTTATACATGGGGAACGTTATCCATCAACTTCAAGTTGTTCAGCAACTTTCTTCTATGCTGCGTGGGTGTTTTGGGGGGTGTTTTTTGGTTGTTTCTTCGTTTGCTCCTTCATATCTATTTACAGAAGACTTTTTTTTTTTTTTTTGTAGTTAAGGTTGGCTTATAGATGGTCACCACATACCATTCTTCTGTGACTTGCTCTGCTAGCTTTTGTTCTGTTGTCTTAATAGTTGAGGCCACGTTTTACCAAAAAAATTGTATATGTAAACATTCATTTTCAGAGCTTTCCTCTGAACTGAAGGATGTTGGTTTGTTTTTTTGTTTTTGTTTTTTTGCATCACACCAAGCTTTATTAATTTGTTGCTTCCTCTTTTCAGATGTGATTTCCATCTCCTTCAATGGAATCCCTCTTGAGGTGTTGCCATCTTAGGTACTGAAATTATCCCACACTGTCAACTTTATTTCCTGATTCTGCCACACAGCCTCTTGGCTTTCAGAGCTGTGGTTGTCAGTACCAATTAGCAGGAATGACCTCACACCTCTTTCTTTGGCAGTCTGTTAGTCTATTCAGCTTTCAGTTTCTCAGTAGTAACTTGCCTTTTTCTGCATTGTTTTGAAGTCCATGTGTTTGCCATGCCTTAATTTTCCGCTTCTGAGGGATTTGATGTCTTTCCTTCCTCCCCTTACGCTGTTGACATTCTTCCATCATCTTACTGCACCTTTTGAGGTTAATTTTAGCTGTCTGCTTGCTAACGACCAATCTACTTTTATCCAGCTTTGCACTAAGTCTCTCCTGCTTGTGCCTCTCTCCTGGGATATTGTCATCCCTTGAACTTTAGTTCTGTAGAGAACTACTCTGCTTCTCAGTCACATACATGCTCAGATTGAACTTATTTTTGTGTTGGCAGTTAGCGTTTTGTTTCAGCTCATTTCAGATAAAACATATTCACTGGATGTTTTTTAATCTATAAGAAGACTTACATTCCTATTCTCCTAACTTATTAGGAATATATGTGCTGCCTCACAGCTTCACTTTTGTGCATATACATGAAAATCTTGCATTGTGTTCTGCAAAACCACTTCTGTGTGACTTCCAAGCCGCTTTTCCTGGGTATCTCTTAAGAGTTTCCAGCCTGTTTCCATCCGGCCTCTTTCCTAATTTAGCATTATTTCATTCGTGATTCAGGTGGCGTGGTACCTGACTTCCAGGTCTTGAGGAGTGAAAGGAATTCACTGGTGAGACTGCATCTTGAATGCTGCATTCAGTTTTACTGTGAGAAAGACATTGAGGCCCTGGCGTGTGTCCAGAGATGGGCAGTGAAGCTGTGAGGGGTCTGGAGCACAAGTCTTACGGGAGCAGCTGAAGGGACTTGGATTATTTAGTCTCAAGAAAAGGAGGCTCGCAGTAGACCTTCTTGCTCTCTGCAATTGCATGAAAGGAGGTGTTGTGGAAAGGTGGAAGTAAGCCCCTTCTCCCAGGTAAGAGAGATAGAGGGAATGGTCTCAGTTTTGCACCAGGGAGATTCAGGCTGACTTCAGTAAAAATTTCTTCCTCAAAAGTGTTATGAGGTATTGGAACAGGCTGCCTGGGGAGGTGGTGAAGTCATCTCCAGAAGTGTTAAGGAAACGTTTAGATGTTGGACTGAGGATTGTGGTTCAGTGGGAAATATTGGTGACAGGTGTATGGTTGACTGGATGATCCTGGAGGTTTTTCCAACCTTGGTGATTCTATAATTCTACAAATTTGGAACTTGTTAAAGAAATTTTGGCTGAGAAATCCTAATGCCAGATTTATTTATGATGGAGGTGACACCACTAGATAGTGACCTGAGGCAAGTGCTGTATATGTGGCAGCTGAGAGCAAAGCAGTCCTAATGCAGTAACCATTTTGGTTTTTTTATTCTTCCCATAAACTGCACTTCTGGGAAGAAGTGTTGTGATTATTCATTGCATGACTGGAAAAAGCACAGGAAAATGATGTGATGAAATCTGTTAGGGGCACCTTCCTTGAAGGATTCCTTATAGCACATACTCTTCTTGAGTATGAAGACCTTCCACCCTCTGCAGTCGAACTCCAAGTATGGAGGAAGCCTTTCTGCCCGTTCTCCTGTAGATCTTCCCCAAGAACTGCACTGATAACTGTTGCAGTACCATAGGCACTGTCGTATTGAAGGTGTCTGTTCAATGCAAGAGGAATTTAGAGAAAAGCATTTAAAACCAGTGCAGTTCACCACAAGAAATTTGTGTTCTTATCAGAGATCCATTTTTTTTTTTTTTTAAGCTCTTGTAATTCTTCATGATTAAAGAAATAACTGAATGCAGGTGAGACCTTGTGCTACTGCTTCTGTCAAATTGCCTCTGTAATAGGCTAGCAAATGCACAATTTTGAAAAGCTTTTAGGAACTTAAAAAATATGTTCAGTAGATTTATCAGAAGAGCAGGGTGGCTAACCTTGAGTGGTTTGAAGGACCACCCAACTCAATGTCACGTGCAACAAGACATCTGTACTGTGCCTGTAATGGCTCCTTTCTCATGGAAGGCTTGGTGTTTCTCCTTACAGATGTGTTTAGGAAGTGCATAAGATTTCTAGATGGATGATCTCGTATATGAAGAGCTCAAAGTATTGGAATACAGAAGGGGTAGGGGCTTGTATCTAAGCGATATACCTCACTGCCCTCTTCCCAAGGCATATGTTTAACTTACAAGAACCAGAGGATGCAGTGTACCTGCAGGGCTCCCTAGAATTGGACTTTGATTTGTGGCTGTCAGCAGTGACTTATTTATTTTCTTAGAAGAAATGGTTGTTCTCTAGAGATCAGCAACTCATTACAGTGCAGAAGCGCAACAGCACTACCTGTGTTCATAGCTCAGTCCCTCCAGTGTGGGCTGAGGCTGCAACTGGTGAAAGGAAAGCCCTGAGGGCAGAACAAGCAGGAGGAGCTCTCCCTTGCAGCAGAACTAGCATAAACTCTTTGTATAATCTCAGGTCCTGAGATCTGACACAGATGACTATCCTGAGGAGGTACTCGAAGGCTGTAATTAAGAAGTTTTTCATGTGAGGAGACGATAACTCATTGAAACATGGTAGAGAGGGTAGCTATGAAACACTTCCGTGGGTATTTTTCAATGTTTTTATCTTCAATATAACCTCCAGTTGTACTGAATCACCTTCTCGTATGAAATGTTTGAGTGAATTAAGGCAAATACTAAACTCTGTAGTAAGAAAGGGATCACTTGCTATTTTTTGTTCAAAGTACCAGTAATAGTGCTCTGCAGCTGTACCACGCCACCTTGCAGTGATGCAGGAAACTTGTCAAGAGCTCTCCATGTAAACTGTTAATGAACCTTTGTAATGTCCACCTGAGGCAGCATGTTATGCATGCCAGGCAGTGCTCTGTGAGCAACTACACTGTAATTAGTGTGGCTGTTTATGAGCAGAAGTGTGGTATCTTAAGAGGATGGAGGAAAGCCCAGTCTCGTACCCAACCCCCGAGGCCTTAGCACTATGACAGCAGGAGTGCCAGAAATAGAAATTGGGAGTCTCAGCTCCTGGAAGAATGACTTCATCCCTGGGCAAATTTCTTCCCTTAGCAACTTTTGTCTATCTGGTTTAGCCCACTTTTTTTTTCCCCTACCTTTTTAGCAGAGAAACAGTTTCACACTAAATTAGCCTTTAAATAAAGGTAATTGCAATCTAATCTCTTCAGAGAAGTCTGATGTTGGTGTGGGTTTGTTTGCTTTTCAAAGTAGGTACTGCAGGAATCATACTGAGCTGTTTCTTGTCATGGAGTCTGTAGTGACTCTAGCAAGAAACAGTGACATTTAAGCACTTTTTTTCTTTAAATAGAGTGCCATTCCCAGTGTGCAAGGCAAGTAAATTTTTGCATGATTGGGAATCTTCATCAAAAACACAGCCACTACTTTTTTTTTTTTACCCCCTCCCTCTTTCATGACCCTCCCTACTAGCATAAATGCTAAAAGCTAAGATTTCTATTCTTTAGAGATCCTCCCCTCCAACAGTCTAAAAATCTATCATGTTAAGTGTAGTACAAGCACTGAGGTTTTATGGTACTGAGTTACAAGCGCATCTAAGTTTGTGAAATATGATCAGTGAAGGATTGCTGAAGCTGATCTAATCACTGGAGCTTACTGCCCGTGACTGACAGCTGAGTAATTGTGTAAATAGGTAAAGGTCAGAGTTAATCCACTGCTTTACATACTGGCCCTTTCCAAGCACAGTGCAACAAGCTGTGTAGGTGGGGTTTATTTGGGTCTTGCTGATGGTGTATGCAGTAGCGGGAGAAAAATAGCTAAGGAAGAAGAGCAGCAGCAGTGCTGTTCATACCTCAGAAGAGGTTGCCTGATTACTGTTATCAAGTAGATGGATACTCACTGCTTTGCTGCAGTGTTTCTAATGTCTGAAATAATGTACTGACCACAAATATAATTTAGTAACAGAAAACTGAGTTGATGCCAGCCTAGTGTATGGATAAGGGCAAGAACTATTACAAAGATGCAGAATCTTTGCACTAATGCCCAGTTGTTTCTGGGATGTGTCCTTTGGCTGAATTTATTTTCCCTTCTGCATTTTTGAACTTTTTTTTGAATGGTATGGAGGTATCAGTTCAAGGAAATTCCTACAGACACTTTATCCCATTTTTACATAGCTTTTTCTGCTGGGCAGATGATCTGGTCCTTACTGAGTAAAAGGAAACATTGAGTAAGTAAGGCCTCTGTCTTGACTGCAGAAAGCAGACTACATCACTAACTTCTTTGAAAAAGCATACAGGATCTTCCCTGAAACCAATCTTCCCATTGGCTTAGTGGTTGAAGCTGTGCAGTTATTTTCAGTGTTTTGGACAGGACTGGCCTCATCAAGGGGACAAAGATTTGACTGCAAAAAAGCAGCTAGAGACTTCAGTCTTGTAGTGAGCCTACAGTCCGCTTAAGTAAGCAAGACTTTTGTCAGATGTAATATCAGTTCTTTGGTCCAAAACACTGATACCTGCAGCTGTGGATAACGTTGCTGTAAAATTTTTGGTGCAGCTTCTCTGGTCGTAAATCTTCTCTCAGTAATTATAGTATTACTTGGTTACTTTCTATACTATGCACTGTGTGACACATCCAAGAATTATACTTACCCAAACATGGGACTTCTGCTATTCTGCAGTACAGGAGTGTTGTTACGTTACAAAACTTTGTTAGTCTTGTGAAGAATATTAGCTGCTGATTCCAGTGTCACCTTTGTGTATTTAAAAGGTTGATACATTATGGTCTACTTGAGTTTTAAGTTGGGGGAGTGAGGGGGGAAGAACACTAAGAACATTTGGGGTGAATTGAGGATTATTCTCTGCAGCTTTTTTCTCTAATCCTGTCTCCATGGAAGGAAAAATTCAACTATTAATATTCTTGCTCTCCTTTTTTTTCCAATTAAGATAGCTACTGCATATAGAATTCTAACTGCAGAGTTTCAGAGAAGTCTAATAAGATAAAAAAACTACCTTCAAAATCATAGGCAACTTTCTGATATTCTTGTTCAGGATCATGCCATTTCATAGCTGTGTACTAAAGGCAGTGTCCTCTCAGAGATATTACACTAGGTGAATATGGGCCAACTTACTACTTGGTGTGAACTATTTGGTATCAGGATCTGGTCTCATATGAGTTCGTTGTTCCGATCTATTCAATGAAATACCAGTCACTTCAGATCTTCTCCTTTTAATTAACAATTACAGTGCATTTATACTTTCAATTCATGTAATTCAACAGCAGATGATGAAAAAGATCATAGATAAGCTGACTTATTGCACTGCTGAAGCAGGGTTGTTCCTGTTGTAATATTTTCCATTGTCTTCCTCATTACACCTTTGAGTGACTTGGAAGATAGATTGCCCATAATTTCCCTTTTCTGCTTACAGATCAGCTTCTTAAATGAGTTTCAGTAGCAGGTGCATTCTTTGCAGTAAGCAGATCATCAGTGTAGAGTGACTTGGGGATTGACCAAGATGAATCTATGTATTTCTTATAATGATGAAACAGCCCGTAAACTTTCATGGCTAGATGGTGCAACTGGAAGAGAAAAAACACACACAACCCATTGGCTTACAAGGGCCAGAAAAGGCATAGGCATTCCTTCTTGATCAGTAGCCGTGTGATGACACAACCTGTGTCTTGCGGCAGGAGAGCCAAATGGATAAATGCATGCTTCGTGTTATTTAAAGATTAACAGAGCTTTACTTGTAAAGGGAAAAGATTTGTATGACTGGAAAACTCCTGCCTGAGGTTACAAAGACTTCTTTTTTGAACTGACATTGCTTTCCCCCTTTATGGCTATGTGAAGTATTTTTAGGTGCTTTATTTAAGCAATTGTGTTTAGGACTCAGCAGTAAATATGACGAACTTGGTGGTGAGTAGATTTTTCTGCCAGAAGTTGTGGATTAAATTCCTTGTTAGGGAAGTGGCAGTGTTCCAAACCATAA